AGCAGCAAATGGACGGATCCAATATGGAGGACACTGAAGGGGGGGGCTGAGACATGCTTAGGAAAAACTGAGACTCTTGCAAGAGAATGTTAACGTTTATTTAACGTCGTCAGACGGAGAGACAGATCTCTGAGAGAACTCAGTACATTTATACAACAGCTCCCAATATACACACTCTACTTTGAAACTATCCCACCCCCTACATAAAGAACTTTCTCACACACGAACATCTGGAGGAAAAACAACTTTCATCAAGGCTGTTCCATGTTAGCTTAATATATCTTTTACTGGCCTCTATCATGCCATGATGGAGGCCAGTAACTCATTCTTATCTCTCATGATCTTCGTTTGGAGCCTGTGGGGCTAAAAACAGACATATCTCAACATTTTTTACTCCACAGCTATAAATATTATAAGCATTAATGGTAAATCCCTCACTGAACAGACAGGGGCGATATGGACCAGCATGAGTTGGTAAAATAATTGCTTTATAGAACAGAAATTCCTGTGTCCAAGTTAACCCTTTAAATGTATTGGGCAGAACCCCTGTGGATCTGCTCCACTATCAGGTATGTCGAGTATGAAGGTAATCCTTCACTTTATCATAAATGTACCAATCATCTACATGGGTTTACCTGACGAATAAAAACAACTCTACCTGAATTAAAGCAACAACATGACGCTGATGATTTCAGGCCTTCAATCTAAGGTTGTAACAATAAACACTTTCCATTCATTCCTGACATGTTCCTAAATGGATGCTCCTGTGGAGGCGTCTGTGGCCCCCTGCACACCACGGTACCTGCTCATAGGGTTCCAGCATGCCTTTCTTGCGGATGTTCCTCTTTGCCAGATAAATGGCTGAAAAACAGCAGAAACACAGGATGCTGAACTTGTTTAATGAGGGGAACCTTTAGTTACAACTACAGGAACAGGAGTGCTTTTCTGCACACATGAAAACACTCTTTAAAATCGTAGGGAAGTCATATTTAAATATCAAATCATTCTGGCTTAAAACATCTAGATAAATATATTCTTTATCAGATATATATATATATATATATAGATATATATATATTTTGAACTTTTCTATTTAAAAAAAGAAAAAAGCTGTCATAAAGTCTGTGGGGTGTTTTCGTTATCTTATGCAGGCCAGATGGTCATACGCCTGAACACCTACATTCAGCCAATCATCGATCAACGGAAGCATAAATAAACCAACACTGCTGTTAAACATAAACCATGTAGGAGGATTTGGACTAGAACTGGTACGAGGCTCATTAGCTTTCCATCAAACAACAATAATGACAGACTGAATATGGCAAGACCTTAATGGCAATAAATAAAAACACAAAGATCAGACAACAGCCTAAAGTGAGTGAAGCTAGCTAACCAAAGGCCGTGACATTTCTGCACCTACCGTAATCAGAGTCGTCTGGAACCCATTGCTGCGTCGGCCAGAAGTAGGGGGTCTGAAAAAGTTACGCATTGATTCTGCTATTAATACAACAGTGGAAGAAAAAAAAAATATATATATATATATATATATA